AAACCTTCTGAACATTTTGGCATATCTTAAAAAAATGGATGTATTTGTGTGTGTGTATGTGTATATGTGTGAGTGTGTGCGTGTATGTGTGTGTGCGCGGATACAAATTTTCGTCGACGATTTCGGGAACACGGATGAAGCGATTTGAATAATTCAAAAAACATTCGATTCGTATTGATAAGAAAACGTGGTGGTTAGTTCTTGGCGATGACAAGTCTAGTCGTTCCGAAGATTTGGGGCAAAAGTGCCAAAAACGGTAACTCAGTTTTTAAGGGAACGGAGCGTCCGATTTGAATAATTCAAAAAACATTTTACTTGTGCATGAAGGCAGGTATAGCGGTTTGGGAGATCTAGTAAAAAAAGTTAAAAAACTAGCTGTAAGTGGAATTCTGTCTTAAGGCAATTAGGGCATCGTGCCTTAAGGCAAATTGCTGGAACTTCCCGTACCAAAATTATTATTTTTTTAAAAACGATCAACATTTTTGAAAAAAAATTACTTTGAAAAAATAAGATTTTTGAGAAACTATAAATTGGACAAAAAATTACTTTTTTTGAAAAAAAATTTTTTTTTTAAAAATAATTTTTTTTTTAATTTTTTTTTTTTTGAAAAAAATTTTTTTTTCTTTATTTTGACATATTGTGGAAGATCTGAACTTTCTTTTCAAAGCAATCGTACTGCTTTAACTGCATAGAGACAAAGCGACGTAAGTCCCGCGTCGCTGTTTAACGCATAAGCATTGGTACGGAACCCATAGGAATGTTAACAAAATGTATACTTATTGTTAAAATCTCTATAAAATATCTGATAATTTGATGTGCATATGTCTAATGATCATTTTTGACCGCCAAATGGCTCATTTTTTTACTTTTTCCTCCATATCTCCGAAACCGCTAGACCTACCTTCATGAAAATTTTATCGATTCTTCATCTTGTCAATACAAGTGAAATGTTTTTTGAATTATTCAAATCGGACGCTCCGTTCTCTTAAAAACTAAGTTACCGTTTTCGGCACTTTTTGCCCCGTATCTTCGGAACGGCTAGACCTGCCTCCGCCAAAAACTAATCAGCACGTCTCCTTATCAATACGAATCGAATGTTTTTTGAATTATTCAAATCGGTTGATCCGTGTTCCCGAAATCGTCGACGAAAATTTGTATCCGCACATACATACACACACATACATACATACATACATACATACACACACACACACACACACACACACACATACATCCATTTTTTCTAAGGTATGCCAAAATGTTAAGAAACCTCTGAAACGTAAAGATATATAAAAATTTTCATTTTCGATTTTTTTGCGATTACTATAACTTACCCTACGGGAAGTTAAAAATGCCATTTGGCGGTCAAAAATGATCATTAGACATATGCACATCAAATTATCAGATATTTTATAGAAATTTTAACAATAAGAATAAATTTTGTTTACATTCCTATGGGTTCCGTACCAACGTTCATCCGTTAGTCCTCACATATTTTTATTTTACTTATTTTATTATACTTTAACTATTCAATATTAAATAGGTGCAGGTTGTAATAATTTTTATTTAAATTAATATATCGTGAAATCTACTGATTATATTTATATGAAAGAATGATTGATATATTCTATAAGTATAAATGCAACAATAAAAATATACATATGGAAATAATTAAATATATATATATATATATATATATATATATATATATATAAAGATATTCCCATGTATAAAAATATATATGAAATTTTGTTGATTATAAAACTTTACAAAATGCCATAATCATTTGTTGCTCTCAAATTTACTCTTAGCTCACTTGATTCCCACTCAGTGTTGTTATCACACTAGTTCAAAGATGCCCGAAAACACGTTATATTTATTTGGTGGGAATTCAAATTGTAGCAGTGTCGTGAATTTGACATCTTCTAGCACGTGAAATCTTACACAAATTTATTAAGGTATGAACACAATCGTAGTCCACCACAACTGGATAAGAGTCATCTGGCATAATCAGTGAAGTTAGTAAAATATTATACGAACTTGTCGATGGAATTTCTCGGGCAGTTTTCTTTCCATGGTAGACAACTTGGATGAAGTATATAAATGCAGTTTTAAATACAACATAAATCCAGATCCAGCTCCAAAATCTTAAGCATCAAAAGACGATTTGGCGAGTTAAAGGACAAGCAGAGGCTGAATCGCGATTCCAATAAACTTTTTGGTGGTGATTTCAGTTTATGACCCAAAGTCTTGGCGTAAATAGGACGGCAAGACACTAATAGTCAGAACTAATTATGGTGTAAGCGATAACCCGAGATCTGGAAATACTGAATAAGTATGCTAGACGGAAGTCAAATGCATCAGCATTTACTAGCCCTTTTAAGTAGCCAACAGAAGACCAGTGATTAGGACGTTGCACCATAGCCTATATTTTATAAATTCTTAAACCATGCTCAATTGCTATCTTCATTGTAAATGTCGTCAGTGATTCTCAGCAGAGGGGTACGCCTGCTGTTCGCAGGCTTATTGTTCCTAAGTCATTGGTCTAGACACAGATCAAACAAATTTTACGATCACTAATCAAATAATATTGAAATTACCAAAAATATAATATTTCGACTATAAATTGAGATTTTTAGCCTACCGCCTAAGTTGGATATGGATGCTCACGGTGAACAAATCAAATTTTAAATCTGTTCAGTATTTTAGGTATTCATTGCGGCCAAACAACAGGTCTGGTTCAGTCAAGTCTTAACATCATGGTTCGTTTCAATACCGCAAAACTTTTGCTGCAAGAATAAACAATTTCTGCACGTTTTTTGGGTGTAAAGCGACACATATTGATGGCGCACCTTGAACCCCCAAGAAAATCTGCGCTATTTTTCGGGGAAAAAATTAATTGATTCATATTATTTATCCGAATATACAGCCAAATTAATTGGCTCATTATTATTTTTGTGGCTAAAAATATGGACGTTGACGAAGTTAATATTAAGATACAACAATTTACAATTTAGTATACAATTACCATGCGATATGATGTCTTTTAAATCTGTTGTAAATATTGTTCATAACTGTTATTATTATCATTATTATTATTATTATTATTATTATTATCTTACTATTTCTATTATTGTTATTTTGTTATATTTTATTATTTTCCAGGTATTATTTCATTATTCAGAAATTTTATTTATAATATTTATTAATTTTATTTTTATTATTATTTGCTTCTATTTTATATTAAATCATCATTTACGGATATTATTTTCATGTAAATTATATCCTTTGCATTCTTATTTATTTAAATTTATGTTATTATTTATCAATATTACTAGATGTTAATTATTTAACAGTTGTAATAATTATTGAAATTAAAAAAAAACTATTTTTAATGAAAACAAAATTGTATATTATCCGACGATGTTTTTCAATTTAATAGGATATCATCATATAATTTGCCATTGAAGATTTATTCTTACGTGTAGTTTGAATACTCCGAGATTATGCAATGATACCCGTTCGGTCAACAGGAAGATAATAGGAGATATATTTGAAGCAACAAGATTAACTGGGAGGTTTAATGTGCATTTCTGGACTGGATTTAGAATATCAATATTTTTAGGTTCAGAAATGTGGGCTAAAACGTGGACGAAAATTTTTTCACTTTTCTGCGATTTACAAAGAAACGGCTTGTCCTCATTTTTTTACGGTAGATATCATAGTCTTATAGATCATACTAAAATATTACGGCCCTACGACAACTCGTCTAACTTAAAAAAATCGCCAAAGTTTGCAAAAATTAGTATCGTTGTTTTGGTATTTGTCAAAATTAGACCTTCCTTCGACTTTTGCTCAAAAACGCCTGAAGCGATATCAGATATTTAAAAGCCATTCGATGTATCTCAATGAGAACTATCGCTTGTCAGTTTTGTGCGACGATCTGCCAAGCTGAATCTTTGTAATTTGGAAAAAACTTTTCGTTCACATTAAATCATACTACCGATTCGACTTTAAAAAATCATAAACTGTACGAAAGATATTAGTTGGTAATGATACTGATTAGTTTTAGATGAAAATCTGCCAAGTCGTTTTATTGTAATAATCTGTTGAAAAAAATTTAAGCCGATTTTTATGGAACTTTTTTTTGTGATATATATCATGGTCTTATAAAACTTACTAAAATATTGCGGCTTTACGATAAGTAGTTTAATTTAAAAAATCGTAGTTAAAATTAAAATTTGACGATTTATTTGGTACCATAGAGTATTTGGTCTTAATGAACATACTAAACCATTAGTCCTACGGAAACTGGTTCAGTTATAAAAATTGTTGATTTTTGAAAATTTGGTTTTAGAAAATATTCTTAGTTAACGTGTTCGTTCGTTTTCAATTGTGTGTACTAAATCTACTCGGAAAACTTTTAATCTCTCATAAATTAATTAATTTTTTATTGATTAAGTCGATTATTTACACATATCGGGAAGTTCATGTGACTTGCCTCAAGGTTATATACCAACTAGTTTAAAAAAGTTCTTGAAACGTATTTAAAAAAAATGAATATCAAATTTGTAATTACTTTACAAAATCTTACAAAAATTTATGGGAAAATGTTGTTCGAAAATAATTATTTGAATGGAAAAATATTTTGATGAGGTATTACTTTATATGAATCTTAAGATAATAAGTAAAATAGTTATAGAATAAATAATATATTTTTGTTTTTTTATTAAAATAATACTTTTTTATTAAAATAATACATACACAGTGTTACGTAATCAACTAAAGGATTCAATAATATATCAACATAAAATAGATTAAATAGAATATATTCAGTAGATTTAGTTAAAAGCCGCTGCAAAGCGTAGCCGAATTTGCTATTATATACATACATATGTATAACAAATGTATTCTGATATATATGTATATATAAATATATATATTATTTTTTTATATATTATTTGTCTATTATTTGATTTATTATTTGAGCCTAATCGATTTTATTTTCTGGTGATAGTATTTTCTACATTTACTTCACCCATAGCGTAAGGTTTCTTTGCGGCTGTAACGAGGTAAAAAGCGCCTCGCGCGCTTTTGTCCAGCCAGTCTCCCATGACTACTTCTTCGCCGGTTTCGCATTTCCCTGTTATAAAGGCGCGCCAGTCGACACATCGTCGAGCCAAAAACTCTCGAGATATGACGGATTCAGCAAAGAATTCATGAGCTCTGCCGTGGCTGCAAGCCTCTGTTGGAAAAAGAAATGATTTTAGTTGTAGCTGTAATGTCACAATATTTTAGTTTAAACTTGCTCTAAGTGGAATTCTGTCTTAAGACAATTAGGGCATCGTGCCTTGAGGCAAATTGCTGGCACTTCCCGTACCGCAATTCAAAATTCGAATAATTAAAAATAATCAATAATAATAATCAATAAAAGTTGATCAATGATTTGAAACTTTTAATAGAATTTTGAACCATATTAAATCATTTATTTTAAAATATTGTGGAAATTCTGAACTATTTTTCAAAGCAATCGTACTGCATAGAGACGAAATATAGATGCGCGTAAGCGCCGCGTCGCCGTCTAACGCGTAAACATTGGTACGGAACCCTTAGGAATGTGAATAAAATTTATACTTATTGTTGAAATCTCTATAAATTATCTGATACTTTGATGTGCATATGTCTAATGTTCATTTTTGACCGCCAAATGGCTCATTTTTTTAGTTTTTTCTCCATATCTCCAAAGTCGTTAGACCTGCCTTTCCAAAAATTTGAACAGTTTTTCATTTTGTCAATACAAATAAAATGTTTTTTGAATTATTCAAATCGGAAGCTCCGTTCTCTTAAACACTGAGTTACCGTTTTCGGCACTTTTTGTCTTGTATCTTCGAAACGGCTAGACTAGCCTTTGCCAAAAGCTAATCAGCACGTCTTCTTATTAATACGAATCGAATGTTTTTTGAATTATTCAAATCGGTTGATCCGTGTTCCCAAAATCGTCGACGAAAATTTGTATCCGAACATACATACGCACATACACACACACACATACAAAATACCAAAGAATAGATGCAATAATTGACCCAATCCTAGCAGACAATCAGTATGTTTTCGCAAAGAGCGATCAACTATTGATGCTATAAACTTGGTAGTTAATACAGCCAAGGAGGCAATTGCTGGAACCAGGGGTGCGAAAAAGTACTGCCTTGTAGCTACATTGGATATAAAAAATGCTTTCAATTCTGCAAGCTGGGATTGCATTATGAATGCACTCCGTGACAAGAACGTGCCAGCATACCTCTGCAATATAGTCGCAAGCTCTATTACAGAGAGAATTCTAATGTACGATTCACGCGATGGTACAGAAGAATATAATATAACAGGAGGTGTGCCGCAGGGCTCTGTTCTAGGCCCTTTGCTGTGGAATGGTATGATGGCCTATTGAGACTAGAGATTCCAGAATGTGTGAAACTAGTAGCATATGCTGACGATGTTCCCATAGTAGTTGTCTCCAAACAAATTGATGACATCGTAAGTCTATTCGATATTACATTTAGAAAAATTAATCGGTGGATGGGAACAATGAATGTCCAATTAGCACAATAAAAAAGTGAAGCTGTTCTTATCACTAGTAGGAAAACAATAGAGACCATCAAGCTAAAGATAGGAAATCTTGAGATCACGTCAAAACCTCACATCTGTTACCTTGGCGTAATGCTTGATGCTCGTTTGAATTTCAATCAACAAGTGGAACACGTTAGTGCTAAAGCGTCAATGGTTAGAACGAAACTTGCTCGACTGATGCCTAATATTGGAGGTCCTAAACAAACCAGAAGGATATTACTATCGTCAGTTATTACTTCTGTGCTAACATATGGTATCTTCATATGGGGTGATGCTCTTAAATCTCAAAAATCGAGGAGAATGGCAGGGCCCTTATACCGTCTCAGTGCTATAAGAATTGCTTGCGCATTTCGCACAATATCGGCGGAAGCAGTGTGCGTCATTTCAGGAACTGTGCCTCTCTTAGTCTTAGCAGAGGAAAGACGGACAATTTACCAAAGAAGACATCAACAACTGAGTCCTGAAAAGTTTAGATTAGAAGAACGGCTGAACAGCATTGACCGATGGCAGCAACTGTGGGATGTCGCAGTAAAGGGCAGATGGACGCATCGTCTCATTCCTAACATCAAAGTCTGGCTAAGTCGCAAGCACGCCGAAGTAAATTATTATACTACGCAAATGCTATCGGGGCACGGCTGTTTTCGAGCCTACCTACACCGCTTCAGGCACGATAGCTCGCCGGATTGCCCATATTGTTTGGGCAAAATCGAAGATGCTGAGCATGTGTTCTTCATGTGCCCACGATTTGGTGCTCTACGAGATGATGTGGAAGAGACATTGAGATGCAGAATTACCCCAGGTAATGTTGTTGGAGAGATGCTGACAAGTGATGCTGCTTGGAACGCCATAGACAGATTTGCGAGAGACGTTTTAATGGACCTGCGTTCTATAGAGAGAGAAAGGGCGAATGGGACTTCGCCCATTTGAAAGATAAGTATAATGTTTATGAATTCTAACATTGATTATAACAAGTTAAGAATTTATATCATTCTAGATCCTCCCCCCACGAAGTAATGCCTAACGGCGGTTTCCGTGGGAACCAGAGGCAAGGGCAAAGCGGAGGTTTTAGTCGGTATTATACCAAGGCGGTATCGAGTCCGACATACCCAGACAGAAGACCGGTCTGGGATGCATAAAGGCATTTCCTTCGCTATACAAAAAAAAAACACACACACACATACATCCATTTTTTCTAAGGTATGCCAAAATGTTCAGAAACCTTTGAAACGTCGAGAAATTCAAAAATTTTCATTTTCGATTTTTTCCGATTATTATAATTTGCCCTACGCGAAGTTAATAATATCCCACGATTTGTAAGAAATAATTCTATGCTTGGAGTAAACGCTATTGTAGTTAGTTTTTCATGCTATTGTAGTTAGTTTTTCAAATAATATCTGTGATATGGATAATGGATATCAAGTTCTAACTTTTTTGCAGTTATTCAAAATCAATTATTTAGTTAGACTAAAATTAATATATATGATATTGATAAACGAAACTTTTTAACGAAGCTATAATTTAAATTTTACCAAGAAATTATGGCATATGTTGATATTATCATAATAAATCGGTTTGGAACCGATTAATTAATTTCCTGTAAAGAATCGCAAAAAAATCGAAAGTAAAAATTTTTATATATCTTTACGTTTCAAAACCTTCTAAACATTTTGGCATACCTTAGAAAAAATGGATGTATGTGTGTGTGTGCGTGTATGTGTGTGTGTATGGATACAAATATTCGTCGACGATTTTGGGAACATGGATGAAGCGATTTGAATAATTCAAAAAACATTCGTATTGATAAGGAGACGTGCTGATTAGTTTTTGGTTAAGTCAGTTCTAGCCGTTCGGAAGATATGGGGCAGAAGGTGCCAAAAAGCATAACTCAGTTTTTAGAAGAACGGAGCATCCGATTTGAATAATTCAAAAAACATTTTACTTGTATTAACAAGATGAAAAACTAATAAAATTTTCATGAAGGCAGGTCTAGCGGTTTCGGAGATCTAGTAAAAAAAAAGTAGAAAAACAGCCATTTGGCGGGCGAAAATGATCATTAGACATATGCACATCAAATTATCAGATGTTTTATAGAGATTTTAACAATAAGTATAAATTTTGTTTTCATTCCTATGGGTTAGGTCCCAATGTTTATCCGTTAGACGGCGGCGCTTCGATATTTCCTCTCTAGGCAGTTCAAAAAAAAAAATCAGAATTTCCAAAATATTTCAAAATAAAGAAAAGAAAAAGAAAAGAAAAAGAAAAGAAAAAAGGTAAATTTTTGTCAAAATTTTATAGTTTCTCAAAAATGTATTTTTTTCAGAGTAATTTTTTTTCAAAAATGTTAATCTTTTTAAAAAAAATAATTTTTAGTACGAGAAGTTTCAGCAATTTGCCTTAAGGCACGATGCCATGCGCCCCCAGTGGCGGATCCAGCTTCGGCGTCAGGGGGGGGGTCATAATTGAAAGGTTTTTAGTATGTAACAAATTTAATATATATATATATATATATATATATATACATATATATATATATATACAGTCGGTCAAGTAAGAGCGTGGCCGGGTTAATTTATAAAAATAATTATTTTATGAAATTTTAATATTTATATATGCATTGTATACGTTAAAAGCAAGGATGCAATTTTGGTCAATATGTGTCCAGTCACCACCGGAGTCGACAATTGGCTGGCATCTCCGACGCCTGCTTTTTACTAATATAACGGATTATTTTAATTTTAACGGAGTCCGACGGCTCGTATTTTAATTTAACGGCTCGACGAGGGCAGTACGTGCTCATATAGAACTTTCATCAGTGAAAATGACATTTTCAAAATCTCTAACAATATTTTCATGTGCTCAAGCGAAAAAGAAGCACATGTTTTTCAGTCGTCAGAGGCTTCCCCGTTGTGTTGCGCCATTTCAGATCACGAATACGAAGAAAGGTTCAGATAGTTTTGTAGATATTTTTGTAGATATTTCTAAACATTTTGCCATTAATTTTGCTCGTCCTTGCTGATGTGTTAAAGCAGGATTCCGCAAATACCCATTCACTGTTCTTTTTTCTTCTTTTTTATTTGAATCACGTTCTGATAAATCATCGACTTTTTTAGCAACTTTATATAGGTGTATCGAATTCTGTACAAATGCCTTCAACTTTCTCATATATTTTGCAGCAGCTGATTGCTACATTTGGGTACCTTTTAGGTGCATGCAAAAGGGCGCAGCCTCGTAGCGCGACCCGTAACTTAGCACTCATGGCGTTTAACGTAATTTTTTCTCAAAAGATCAACTGCAACTAAACCTTTTTTGACAATGCATCAAGGACAAAGCTTCTCTTTATTGGCTCGCGAAAGAATTAGACCGAAATCTTTCATTAACTGTCGTTAAAGTCTGCCACGCTCTTACTTGACCGACTGTAAGATAGAGCGGGGCTTAAAGATCCGCAGGTAGAAAGGTCTACCACCGATATCTCAAAGACAAGTAAAATTTTAACGATTTCTTAACAACGATATTTGAAAGTAGAGGGAAAAATTGTACAACCAGCCATCACATTGATTCTTACGACGTTTGAAAAAGCATTTTTACAGGAGATAAATTAAATAAATATTTGTTCCAACTCTGCTGATGAATATTTTGGACAAAATATCAAATCAAGGCTATATACAGAGTTATCTTTGTAAAAACGGTATCCATAAAATTTGGCTGAATAATGTTGCTATTATTTCGTTAAATTCCATTAAAATTAAAAATAATACATGGGGTTGTTTGTCCTCTCGCCGTCCGATTTTACCGCGCCCTTAAGGTAAAAAAAACAAGCGACAAATTTTTGAAAAACAGCAAAAAACACATTTCTACAGTGATGAATTTGCTGGGAGATGTACTATACATAGTCAGATAGTTTTTGTTTGATGTGTCTTATTTGTTACTATGCTTTTCGTTTAATTTTCACAATATAATTGCTCATAGTTAAATTGGAGCCTCTTCACCCTATATATATATGCATTTTTTTAAAATAATTTGCGTCTTTGACTTGGTTCAATATTTGATCTTTCCTCGACGTTTTCTCGTCTGAACTAAAGTTAAAATTATTACTATAAAATGAAACTAGATAAGCGCTTGCGTTGATTAGTTTTGTGAGTCAGTTGGTTTATCCGATTCTTTACTATTAGCAGAAAAGTGCAAAAATTATCGTTCATGTTTTTGTCGTAAAATCTTAACCGTTTTAATAAATGGTTTTTGGCGAAGATCGGTCAAATCGTTTCTTTTTCATAATAGATTGTTAATTTTTTTATGATTTTGGTGAAACTTTGCATGGCGATAGAGATTCTGCTCTAAATGAACATACTAAACTATATTAAGGCCTGCGATTATGGATTTGGATTATTAAAGTTTGGATTATTTGGCCGCGTTTTTAGAAAATTCACCGTGTATATGTATTCGGTTTAGTATTTCGTATGTGTCCGTTTTCCACCAATGTATAATGTTTAAACCATTTTTTAACTATTTATTGGAATTTGGCGTTGAAGCAAGTTACATGAACTTCCCGATATGTGTAAATAATCGACTTAATCAATAAAAAATAAATTAACTTAGGAGTGATTAAAAGTATGCCGAGTGGATTTATGACACATAATTGAAAACGAACAAACACGTTAACTCGGAGTATTTTCTGAAAGCAAATTTTCAAAAATCAAAAATTTTCATAATTGAACCAGTTTCCGTAGGACTTTAATGGTTTAGTATGTTCATTAAGAACAAGTACTCTACCATTATACCAAGTAAATCGTCTAATTTTAATTTAAACAAACGTCAAAAAACTACTCATTTTCACAAACTTCGATGAATTTTTAGAATTAAACTACTTGTCGTAAGGCCGTAATAACGTAAGGCTTTTTTTAACTGTTAATTACAAGAAGACGGCTCGGTAGAGTTTCACCTTCCCAACCAATTTCTTTCGAACAGTTTTTGATTTTTTAAAATCGATTCGGTAGTATGAGCTTAAATGTGGGCGAAAAGTTTAACACTTTTTTCCAAATTACAAAGAAACGCCTCGGCCGATTGTCGCACAAAACTGAGAAAAGATAATCCACATCAAAATACATCGAATTTTGAATTTCTGAAATCGGTTCAGGCGTTTTTGAGCAAACGCCGATGAAAAGTTTAATTTTGACCATCGCCCAAAAACGATACTAATTTTTGAAAACTTTGACGAGTTTTTAAAATTGAACGACTTGTCGTAGGACCGTAATATTTTAGCATGATCTATAAGGCTATGGAACTACCGTAAAAAAAAACTCATAAAAATCGTCGCATTTTTTTAAACACTTTATTACAAGAGAACGGCCCGACGACCAAAAACTCAACACGATTCCCAACCAATATCTATCGAACGGTTTTTGAATTTTCAAAATCGATTCAAAATTGCGGGCTAAAACGGGGACAAAATTTTTTTCACTTTTTTGCTATTTATAAAGAAACGGCTTGGCCAATCGTTGAACAAAACAATAGTCCTCATCGAGGTGCATCGAATGGCTTTAAAATTTTTGAAATCGGTCCAGCCGTTTTGAGAAAACGTCGATTTACGGCAAAAAAATCTGTCCACACACACTTTTTCCAAATTTGGTCTCATTAGATTTGAATGGAAACATAAAATTAGCGAATCAGATTTTTTGAAGAAAACATAAACTTCTCTTTCGGGATTTTCGGGAAGCATTAGGTATACTTCTCTAAATCAGTCATTATTTTTATATTACGTCGTCTATTTTACAGATGTTAGGGATTACAGAAAGTTCATGTCTGAGGGCCACTCATAATTAGTTTAATTTTTTTACTTTTGAATGAAAATTTTTTCTTAAACTGTAATACCTATTTCAAAATTATGTCTAGAACATATATTCGCAATACGATTAGAAGATCCTTAAATTTTAGGAGTCCTTGACTCTGCCATTCGTCTATAATAAGTTAAAGATTCAAGTTATAAAAAAGAGTTTGGCAACAAAATACATAAATAAAATCATTATGAAGTAATTTTTTTGTTGAATTAGTGTTTTATCGATGTCCTAAAACAGGCTCAGGGGGGGGTCATGACCCCCGTGACCCCCCCCCCTGGATCCGCCACTGTGCGCCCCACTAGTTGTTATCATGAATCATAGAAAGAGCTTGTAATCCCCCGTTGAGTTGAAACTGATATTAATTAGTTGAGTGTTGAAATATTAATAATTTATATAGTTTCAAGAATCTCATATAACATTTGTGATTGGTTTATTTTTGGAAGCCATCGACCAATTATATATTGACCTGTAATTTAGGTGGGTCGAATTCAAGAAATTTGAATTTCTTAGAAAGACGTATTAATGGTAGAAGGACTATTTGTGGACATGATGCATTATAATGGAAGATAATATTTGATACTTCAAAATAGTGCAATAAGTATTGTTATTGATATTCTGTATGAAGAGAATTAAAATATATTCATATAATTTCATTGGATCAGGGTTGAGTCTTAGGCGTTAATAGAATCATAAAGAAAAAATGATAATGATCAAATTTAACTAAGTGTATGTGACGATGTGTTATACTCGGCTGAGTTGAATCGGTAATACACATACAAGTGTAAAACTTGCGTATGTGTATTGCGTAAGTTTAATTTTTAACAAAATAGCGTTAATTCCGAAATATCGATATTTTTGGTATCAATACCGGTATTGAATACCAGGCAAGAATCGTCCGGGATCCCGGCATTTGAGATCACGGAATCCCGGTATTGTAGGCCCTATTCAAGCGTAAATTAGTGATTTACAGAAACTCACCGACGATTTCTGGGTAACCGCAACAGCAACCCGGCTGACTAGGTGCGCCGCCGTTGGGGTAGAAATCAGCGTGGCCTATAGGGTCCCAATAACCAAGGACACCACCGCAAGTGTGTATCACGTCAACAAACTCAGCATCTGTGGGGTCCAGCCTTCGATCGGGGGATGAAAGCAATCGAAAGCCGGGTAGCGCAGGGTCTAAGCCTAAGATAAATTGATTCAGGCAAGTACATTCATTAAGCAAAAATCAATTAAGGAAAGGGAAAATCAAAACTACTAAGTAAGCATTTTATTTTAATAACTAAGTAAGTTAATAGTACGAATATTAATACAATTTAAAATAATTTTTTTGTCTTTGGCATGTAACTGTTTTTGCGCAATTTAACTGATGTGTGAGATCACTAAAAAGGGGTAAGATTTCAAAAATATTTGGAAATCTAATATATGTCAAGATCAATAATTTTTCTCAAATTTATTTCAATATTATATATTGAATTACCAGTAATTCTTGCGAGCTTGCCAGTGGTGACAAGGGAACCAGCATATCCGGCTGCATGGGCACCGAGACTGTGACCCACCAGGTGGACTCGATTCAAATCAGCTCCGTGGTGCTTCACCAAATAATCAAGCAGACGGGCTAGTTTTCCGCCAACAATCTAAAGAAACTCATATTTTAATCATCTACAGATAATACAATGATAATCACTTTAATGGAAATCGTCATGCCAATAGAATAGTTATTTAACTTATGCATATACATACACTAGCAAACCAGATGGTTTCATTATATGTAACATTTTGTTTGCCGATTAAAAGATGAAGAAAAAAATTTCCTGCTGTTGAAATTGATTAAAAATTTCAACAACACGCGTGATTGATTTGATGGTTTCTAATTGAAATGATACTTATTTTTTTTACTTGTTTTGCACAATTTCACAGTGAACACAATGCCGGTTTGTCACATGAAATTAACTAAGTATCAGAGATGGCGCTGTATGTGAATAAAAAGTGCTTTCCGCTTTTCTGTTGAAATCTTTCTTCAATTTTCTTTGCTATAAACCTCGCTAAGTCCGATACCTCTCCAACGAATGCAAAATCGTCGAAATCGGTTCGTGCATTCTGGAGTTATATCGTCAGGAAGGAAAACCCGACTTATTTTTATATAATAGATATTTCAGAAATGACATATTATATTAGTCTTAATTAGTTAATATATAAATTAATTAATGTAATAATAAGCCAAAAATAATACGGGTATAGTTGATTTCAAAATTAAAATAAAATTTTATGATGCTTAAACTAAAATGGCATAAAAATTTCCACTTTCTATAAACAATATTCAATAAACTTCTTTTACTCTTGTAAAAGAAGTTTTTTCTCTTACTCTTGTATCCTGCATTGGTATCGGATAAAATAAGTTTGAACTGAGTGGTGCCCAATCCACAACAATAACATTACAATCTCTGCTTTCCAGATAAGAGTTTCTGATGTCAACTGCAAAAGACGAGTTTCCTCCTGACATCCAGCCATGAATCAATACCTTTGTCTCCAAAGCCGGGTTAAAATTCTCGATAGTCAATAATGAGGTTATTGGGTCTACTTCGTTTTCACGTTCTACTGGAGGAGGTTCTAATGACACAGGCTGCTTTGAAGATGATCTAAAATATAATATTTAAAATAATAGAGATGAGTATATGAGTGAAGATGAATAACTATAAAGATAGTATTAAGTTTATTCATTCATATTTTTTGCTCATTTGCAACCTGTAATAATAACTAGTCGCATTATGACTTATGGTAAGTTGCTGGAACTTTCCGTACTCCAATTAAAGATTCGAAGAATGAAAATAGTTCATAATCAATCAAACTTAATCAATGATTTAAAATTATTTAAAATTATTAATGAGATCATTAAACTATCATATACTATTTGCGTGCTAAATTGCGTACTGAAATAGAAACGGAAGGTTTATAAATTTCAATATCTGTTTACCTATCTACCCTACCATTTCACTTGTGTTCATTCAATTGCTCTGTTCTCTCACATACTTAATTTTTCATGTGCAGCTCAATTTATTCTGTATTTCCGAGACGACTAGACCAGCCTTTGCCAAAAACTATTCAGCACGTCTCTCCATTATCGAATACTTTTAAACTAGTGGTGTAAGGCATCGTGCGTTAAGGCAAATTGCTAGAATTTTCCGTACCATTCATTTTTTTAAATTATTTTTTTTTAAACTTTGAAAGAATTTGATTTTTGAGAAATTTTACATTTTTGAAAAAAAATACTTTTTTCGTAAAAAAGCTTTTGAAAAAAAAAATTATTTTTTATTTTAAATTATTTTGGAAACTCTGAACTTTTTTCAAAGCTATCACAATGCCATACCGATGAAATATCAAAGCGCGTAAGCGCCGCGTCGCCAATCTTTTACTAGATCTCAGAAACCGATACACCTGCCTTCCCTAAAATTTAATCAGGCTTTTATCCTCTCAATACAAGTAAAATGTTTTTTAAATTATTAAAATCGCACATTCCGTTCTCTTAAAAACTGAGTTACCGCTTTTGGAACTTTTTGCCTCGTGTCTTCGAAACAGCTAGACCAGCATTTGCTAAAAGCTTATCAGCGCGTCTCCTTATCAATACGAATCGAATGTTTTTTAAATTACCCAAATTGGTTGATCGGTGTTCCCGAAATCGTCGACGAAAATTTGTACGCACACACACACCATATACATACACACACATAAATACATCCATTTTTAAGGCATGCCAAAATATTCAGAAAACTTTGAAATATAAAGATATAAAAATTTGCATATTCGATTTTTTGCCATTACAATAACTTATCCTACGGGATGTTAATAATTTAAAACTATTAATCCGTGGGCCCGAAATAGTGGACAAATTATTGCCTTATTCCTTTACAATACGTACAGTCGCTAGCTACTTTGCAGACATTGATGAACTATTTACAGAATATTATGTATGGGTGAGACTGGAAATTCCACCATATGTCAAACTAGTAGCATATGCACAATGATGTAGCTATAGTGGTTGTGACCAGGCACATTAATGAGTTAGTAAGCTTATTTGACATAACTTTGAGAATAATTGTCGCTGGATGAAAACAATGAATCTGCAATTGACACAACAAAAAAGTAAAGTTGTTCTTATAACAAGTAGAAAAAAAATAGAGACCTTCAAACTAAAGATAAAAAATTTCGAGATTACATCAAAATTTTACATTATTTACCTAGAATGATGCTTGATTCTCGATTAAATTGTAATCAACGGGTGGAACACGTTAGTGCTAAGGCGCCAGTAGTTAGGATGAGTCTTGCTCGGCTCATGCCGAATTTTGAAGGCTCAAAACAAAGCAAAAGAATCATTACTATCATTGTCGATTACTTCGATTCATTTCATGCTATTAAAATATAATAGCAAATAGTCATTTTTTTCAAAACGTATATTATTCTCTGTTAATATTTTATACACTGAAATTTAGCAAATATTTATGAAATTTAGTAAATATTTTACAGTAAATATTTAATATTTAAAATTTATTAAAAAATACTAGAGGTGTATGGCATTGTGGCTTACGACAAATTGCTGGAACTTCCCGTACCGTAACGAAATGTTCGAGCAATATTAAATGTTTTCAAATAGATTATTATAAATATTGTAACATTGTTTAATATTTATAAGAATTATATAAACTGAATTGCAAAGTTATAATTATTTGTTTAAAGTACATTAGAACTTCAGTCAGAATTAAAATTAAAATCTGAAAAAATCTGAATTATTTTCGATGTACAAAAAAAATTTTTTTTTGGAAAAAAAATTGGAAAAAAAATTGAAACAATTTTTTTTTCCAAAAGCAATTATTTTGTTAAAAAAGCAGAAGTTCTTTGAATCATTTAAATCGGACGCTTAGTTCTCTCAAAAACTGCCATTTATTGCACATTTAGCTATGTATCTCCGAATGTTTTTTAGATCATTCAAATCGGATACTCCGTTCTCTCAAAAATTCGATTTGTGTTTTGTGCACTTTTTGTTCCGTATCTCCGTGATGGCTAGACCTGCCTTTGCCAAAAACGAATCAGCACGTCTCTCTGTTAATAGGAATCGAATGTTTTTTGAACCATTCAAATCGATTGATCCGTGCGCCCGAAAACGTAAACGAAAAAATGCGGACACAAAAAACACACACTCACATCCATTGTTTCTGAGGTATGCCAAAATGTTCAAAAACCTTCAAAACGTCGAGAAATGCTAAAATTTTCAATTTCGATTTTTACGGGAAGTTAAAAATGTATTAGTTATTTTTATAATGTATGTTTATATAAATAACATACCTAGTATATAATTCAAAAGTAATCAAATGTTCTTTTCCTATTTTTGATTCTCCAGGACCTTCTGGTTGTTGCAAATAAATCACACGAGGTTTGTAATTGCCATCAGGAAAATACATCCATGTCTCGCCGTAGTCCTTAAATCGTTCGCGAAGATCATTTTTATATTCTTCACAATACGTCTCTGTAATACAAGTCTCATTAAAATTAAAAATATTAATTTATATGGAACTGTACAAATTGCAAAAATTATTTCATTCAACTGTTTGTGATCGTATTTTCTACGCATGATTCAATTGAGAATATTCATATTTTAAGAAATATAATATAAATATTTATATTGCAAAAGTTATATAAATAAACCTAATTTATTAACCATTGAAGTTTTGTTTTTACTCTGAAGTAAAACAATTAAGAGAGTAAATTAACATAATCAACTATAAATGTGTCCAGATTTGCGCACCAATCGACTTATTTTGATATTACTGTCTTATTTTGCTATAAACGAATTGTAAGATAATATGAATGTTATTTGAAAATAGTTGTATAAATATTCATATGGTAATATTATTTGGTTATATTATTTTTGTTAAAAGTTTATTTTCTGAATATTTTACTAAAAAGTTTTGATTTTACTAAAACGGGTTTGATTTGAACTCGCCTTATTCGGTGCATTAGGAAGCTCATTGTAAATTTTGTTAATTATTTAATTATTATTAACGATTTATATATTTTTGGTAATTATTGATTAAAACCATTTTTTCTGGCTAGAATTTTTTGGTAAATCCCTTTATTCAAGCTTGAATAACTAGTTATTTCAGCTTTTGATTAAAATCGTATTATATTAATCTTTTTTAAATGAATTATTTTAGTTAAACCAATTAAATGAATTTTAAATAAAAAATAAAAACTACATTATACTTATACATTATTCTCACCTGGTATAAAATAAATCACAAAAAACACAATATAAAAACGCAACATTTTTACAATATTCTATTCTTTGAGTCACAACAGTTTATGGCAAAAAATATTAAAAGAATAATCTTTTATAAGTAGTAAGCATTAGAAAACTGACTAGTATTTCCAGTTTATTTATCAAGTCCTTGGAAAATTTCATAAAATTCAAGTTAAAACAAAACCATTGTTTTTAGAAGGAATGGTCAACTCGAGGGCGCTTTATCTATAACTGTATTCTTATGCAAATTTATGCGTTTGTAATTTCATGCGATAATGGTTTAATTCGTTTACCAAAATTATTCTAATGAATTAAATGTAAAAGATGTAGCAGCAATTATATGGGTCATGGAAACGCTAAAAATTGTGGACGTTGATGTGAATGCTTTACGATATAACTATTTTACGCGAATAAATTGACATTTTTATTAACATCACGAAGGAGAAGTTAGTATATTCATCAAAAAATCCGAATCGCTAATTTTATGTTTTCTCGACGTTTCAAGTAGTGATGTGCCGACTCGAAAATTTCCTGATTCGAATGATTCGAATCAGAAAAAAACCTGATTCGAATCATGATTCGAATCAATTCGAATCAAGTTCATATATGAACAATTATAATTTAAGAGAAGAAATTATATCATTTTAATAATTTTATAAGTGAAATAATTAATTTAGTAAGCAATTAATTCCAAAAAGTGCAGAGATGAATACATTTATATTATATATAATAATAAACTAGCTACAAATATAACTAATATTTCAAGTGAATTTACAGTAAAATATAACCAAACACTTCTCTATCACTAAAGCATATAAAACAATATTCTTAATCTTACGTTGAACGAATGCATGTGTATATTATTGATTGTTTAAATCTAATCTAAACAGGGGGCTGAATCTAACGTCTTACGAATGACTTAAAATTTAATCCACTACTGTAAAGATTGATATTATTTCATTTGTGTGAATTTGCCATTACTTGCATAATTAAAATATGATAATTTTGTGTGTGTATAAAACTCGTTGTGTAGATTATTTTGATAATAATTAAAATCTAAATCGCGTATTTATTATCTAAATGAGTTTTTGATATTTCATGAATAAATTTGCTCTCAGCGCTTAGTCAAAAATAAATAAACACTCGATAAGTCGATACGCTGATACACGGACACATGTTTCGAACTCAAGTCGGTATAATTCAGTTTGAGTCATATAAACTCGGATAAATTCATAACGACTTGAAGTCGGGATGAGTCGGTTTGAGTCTTAGGAACTCGGATCAATTCATATCGACTTGAAGTCGAAATAAGTCGGTTTGAGTCTTAGGAACTCGGATAAATTCATAGCGACTTGAAGTCGAAATAAGTCGGATTGAGTCATAGGAACTCGGATGAATTCATATCGACTTGAATGCGGTTAAAGTCATATAAATTGGAGTCGGGTGATACATTTAAGCGTATTAAAGCCGGGTGGCTCGCATGATTTAATTCAAGATTTATTTTTTATATTTATTATTATTATTTTTTATATTAATTATTATTATTATTTATATTATTATAATATTGAATTAAATTAAAACATTTTTTTTATATTTATGAAAATTTGTGTTCATACATGCACACAGTAAATATTTCGCGGCTTGATACGAGTTGATTCGAATCAAGTAAAATCTGATTCGAATCAAGTCGTTAAAGGCTTGATTCGAATGATTCGAATCACTTGATTCGACTTGGCACATCACTAGCTTTCAAGCCATTCTGAATCAAATGAGACCAAATTTGAAAAAAGTGTGTGTGTGCTTGTGTGTAAACAGATTTTTGCATCGATTTCAAAAATTCAAAAGCTATGAAAAATTTTTCGTCCACGTTTTAGCCCGCAATTCTGAATCGATTTTGAAAATTCAAAAATCTTTCGAAAGATATTGATCGGGAATCGACTGATTAGTTTTTTTTGGTAAGGATCGGCCGGACCGTTTTCTTGTACTAAAGTAAATTTTTTTCGATGATTTTCATGTTTTTTTTGATGATAGATATCATGGTCTCCTAGATCATACTAAAATATTACGGTCCTACAAGTTGTTTAATTTTGGAAATTCGTCAAAGTTTGCAATAATTAGTATCGTTTTTTTGGCATTTGTCAAAATAAGACCTTTCATCGACGATTGCTCAAAAACGCCTGAACCGATTTCAGAAATTCAAAAGAAATTTGAAGTATCTTGATGAGGATTATCGCTTGTCAGGTGCGACGATCTGCGGAGCCGTTTCTTTGTAATTTGGAAAAAAGTGTTATACTTTTCGTGCTTCACGACAAGTAGTTTAATTTTAAAAATTCATCAAAGTTTAAGCAAATGAGTAGTTTTTTTGACGTTTGTTAAAATTAAAATAAGACGATTTACTTGGTATAACGATAGAGTACTTGATCTTAATGAACATACTAAAAATTAAACCATTAGAGTTCTATGGAAACTGGTTCAATTGTAAAAATTATTGATTTTTGAAAATTAGCTTCTATAAAATACTGCGAGTTAACGAGTCTTCGTTCGTTTTCAATTATGTGTAATAAATCTACTCGGAATACTTTTAATCACTCATAAATTAATTTATTTTTTATTGATTAAGTCGATTATTTACACATATCGGGAAGCTTATCAAAGTTCCTCAAGACAAAATACCAATACCAACTAGTTTAATTTTTCTATTCAATTTTTTTAAAAAAAAAGTTGTTTTAACAATCATGTCGTCAAAAATGAAATACGACAGTTTAGAACAATGGCTATTCTACTTATGTGTTGGTTCACAATTTTTAACTTCCCGTAGGGTAAGTTATAGTTATTTAAATTTTTTTGCATATCTTTACATTTCAAGACCTCCTGAACATTTTGTCATACTTTGTGTGCGTATGTGTTATTTTTGTATAGCGAAGGAAATGCATTTATCCATCCTAGGCTGATCTTTTGTCTCGTTATGTCGGAACCAGTACCGCATGGGTATAATACCGACTAGGGAGGATGCAGAATGTTATTATTCTTGCACTGATTTTATACCTATCTTTTAAATGAGCGAAATCCCATTCGCTTTTTGTCTTTCCATAGATCGCAAGTCAATTAGCACATCTCTCGCAAATCTGTCTATGGCATTTCAAGTTGCCTCAGCTGTAAGCATTACTTCTAAAACAGTATCTGGAGCAATTCTACGGCTCAATATCTCTTCTGCATAGTCCCGCAGAGCACTAAATAGCGAGCACATGAATAATACGTGATCTGTGATTATGTGTGGATACAATTTTTTGTAAAGAACTTCAGGCCTACGGATTAACCAAATTGAATTGATACGGAAACGTGCTGTTTAAGTTTTGGCAAAGGCTAATCTAGCAATATAGAAATATGGAGTAAAAAGTGAAAAAAATGACAGTTACCAAGAGATCAACCAGATTCGTTTGGTTCAAAAACATTTGATCTCTGTTGATGATTGACTGCTTAGTTTTTAGCAAAGATAGCTCCAGCAGTTTCGATTGGACGAAGCAAAAATTCAAAATAAAAGAAAACAATTATCGGGAAACGGAGTATCAGATTTGAATTATTCCAACATTTCACTTGTATTGATGGAGAGAAATTGCAGTTTTCGACTTAAATATTTTACGAAATGTTTATTAAATTATGACTCATGTTATATAACAAAGTTAAAAATCAAACTAAATTAACACAAACGCAACATTAGCTAAAAAATAATTAATACTATCAATCAAACTTTGGTAACAAAAAATAACCAGCATTGAACACATATTTAGCCATCTCCACACTCTGGAATGTCTGCACATGTGTGTTTGACGAATATTCTTAGATATTGCAAAAAAAAACAGTATTTATCTACCTTTTGGCTAGACCACACCGATGCTCTCAGCTGAAGTATTCATCGTAAGATTTTCATTCTTTGACTAGGAAATACGAAAAATGAGGGTATTTAGTGACTGTTAGCACTTACTCAGAACAAAATTAAATAATTAGAATAAATTACGTCAATTCTCACAAGAAATATCAATATGGTTACTGTCCGGCGCTAAGGGACGACTTAGTGTCCGATGCTAAGAGACAGGCATGTTTGTTCATTTGGTGGTACCTACTAAAACTGTTTAAAATATCTAACATTATTCAACTATTTTACGGAAAACAATCAAGTACTACTTTTATCTTTGAATGCCACTCAAATGTAAATGCATAAATATACCAGAATTACTTCCATTCATATTTAGGTGACGCCGTGATTTTGCTCCTAAAACAGCAAAGGGTTACTCCCGCCGTGGCCGTGTGCGTCACGGCGGTGAGGTGAGTCT